TTTATCCAAATCCAATCTTTATCCTCTCAAAAAATGTAAATGCACAAATTCCTTGTACAAGCTCCATTTATTCGTTTTTCTTGTCCATCGGCGATTTAACCCTTGGTGGCGGTACAGGACGGGGTGCTCCTAGCGACGGTCTCCTCCCCTGTCGATTCAACGAATCGATGGACGGCAACATTTGGGGCAGAATTTGGCTGTTAGGTGGCTGTCCGCTGGCGGTAGGTGGTGGATGGTGGTCGTGGACGTGCTCGTTCAGCCAGTAGCAGTTTACCTCGCCTGAAAATATGCGATTTGCAGTTGTAATGCTTCTGAGAAGGAGCTACAGAGAGAGACAGAGACAGAGAGAGAAAGAGAGAGACAGACCAATTTCGAGACATACCTTTCCCCTTCACATGCACAATTCCTCTCTTCACCAGCCGATACTCCGGAACGTCAAACAACTTCAGGGCTGTGATCTCGCTGGTCTGGATTTGATTTGGCGGACAGTTTGACTGCATCCGGGACGCGAAATTGACCTTAAAAATCGGAAGTTAAAGGGGTATGACACTTACCGTATCCCCGAAAAGACAATAGCGAGGTGACCGTAATCCAATGACTCCAGCGGCGATAGGACCGCAGTGGAAACCGATGCGGACTCGGACTTTGAAGTCGGGGAGGTGGAGGACTTGGTAGCGATAGGAGGCCTAAAAAATCTCTATCTCTCCAGCTTTTTCATTCTCTCTCACGCTCTCTCTCTCTCACTCTCCCTTCTATCTATCTATCTTTCTGACTCGCTCTCTTCCCGTGTCTGGCTTACATCTCTCAATTCCAGCGAAATATCAGCAATTTCGAAGACGTGACGTCCTCCATTTTCTGTCGGTACACCAGAGGCCACCATATAGGTTTCACCAGTCGTTTCGACCTAAAAATTGACCGGATGTACTTTAAACTATAGCTACCGCTAGATGGTACAATCTCAGATGGAAAGAATTACCTTATAAGCATCATGAACTTTTACAATCTCATCGAAGAGTGTAAAGGTATCGTTGAGGAATGTTACGATCTAAAAAAATGTTAAATTTTGATTTTCAGAAGAAGAAACATAAGTTAAATTTGGTCTAGAAAGTATGAGTTCTTACCTGTTCTGCATTACTCTTCGAGCACAGCGTGTTGAAGTCCATGATCTGGCAGAAGAGTACGGTAACGGAATCGTAGCTTCGTGGTGGGACTAGGCCGCCTTGCTTCAGGACTTGGGCGACGGTTCTGAAAGGTAATGAGGTCAGAAACGCAGTAAGTCTACAAGGTCACGAAGCTTCGTCTCTCACGCTCGCGCGCTCTCTCTCTCTCTGTCTCTCTTTTTCCACTTACGCAGGCAGCATCTCGCACAACAGTCTATCCGTCTGCTCCTGTGCCACCTGCAACATAGCATTCCGTTCGGCGACTATCTTCTCCAAATTTTGCGCATACTTCTCATTCATTTTTATCATTTGATCCACCAGGTTTCCTTTTCTAAAGCACCATTGAAGGCAAAAAATATAGCTTACGCTGACACAAAAGCCTTTTGTACCGTCTGATTGATCAATCGGAGCTTAGGGCGGCTTTCCGGGGTTGGGCGCCAGCACTCTTGCATGATCTAAAATGGTTGATCTTTGTAGTGCCAATATTAGTTGATCGTAATCTGGAGTGTAGCGTAGCTTAAAGCACTGTGTAATTTGTCACTTTCAGGAGCTAGCAGCCTACTATACCTGTAATAAAGCATCGCCCTCGGAATGGACTTCCGGTTGAAGATTGTTATTCATGATTTGGTCGAGAATTTCTGAAAGTGAAAGGTATTTTTTTTTTGGCGTTCTTGTACTTCATTGCTGCTTTCCAAGTTTAAGTTTATCGTTTTATGGTTATAAATCAATAGAATTTTAACAAGAGATCTACAGTAATCCAAAAAAGCGAATTTTCACCTCGTTGCGACATCATATACCGATCATACGGTGGCTGCCGGAAGAGCACTTGATACAAAATCATGCCCATACTGTAGATATCGCCATGAACGGTGCCTTTTGGATAATTTCGGCCAATTTCCAGATTTTTCAAGAGCTCAGGAGCAAAGTTGTGATATGCTAAACGAATACGTTTGTAAAATTTTAGAATTCGGAGGGCTTACTTTGCAATGAAATCAATTCCAGCGGCTTCAAGGTGTCTGCATTGACAAATTCATGTATCATCGTGCTGATCCCGAATTGGGTCAATTTCAAGACCCAATTTGCATCAATTAAGCAATTCTGGGCGGTTAGAAGGCCGTGGTAGCCGATGGCTGATTTGTGGAGGAAGGTGAGACCCTGGAAAATGTGGGGCTAAAGGTACTAGCAAGCCGAATATCGACCTCTCGTGGCGACTATGTCTAGACAAGTACGCGCAAAAAAACTACACACAACAATCCTTGCGAATCTTCGTTCCATGTCAGATTTAAGTGCCAAAATCCTCAGAATTTTATACGCCTTAAAATGTTTCAAAAAATGTTGCAGTCGAGACCTCGTTCAGCTCGATTTTCGGAATTCCTAGTACCTTTTATGGAGTTTGGAAGGCAAGAGTCTATCGACATAAGCTTCTTAGGCTTTGATAGAGCCAGGACCAAATCCTACCTTTATAATATCCCTTAAAAATGCCGATTTGAAAGTAGCGTCCAGGTTGAAGTCGGTGTCGAGCACAAAGTCCTAAAATGCGTCATTTTATCCAGAAAAACAAATACCTCCAACGAAGCCCTTTCGACAATAGCGTGTAGGACGTAGAAATGTTCCATTTCATTGCAGCAAATTCCCAAAAACCGTGTCAGATTATCGTGGGTGAGCTGCTTGAGCTCGAAGAGGAATTTTAGCTCTGGTCTGAAAAGTTGGAAATAGCAATTTAACTTAAGGGCGTTTTTAAGGGATAGTGACAAGAAGGGAAAAAGTAGAAACCTAGTGGAAATATTACCTGGTCCATCTGATTTTCCGGTTCTGCTTTAAGGCGATAAATTCGGCTTTGGCCGTTCCGAGTAAAGCGTAGCTGGATATCACTCGTCTTTTGCTGCTCAACGTATCTGCCCCTCCACCAGCTGAAAAAGCTGATGTAAATTTTAGCGATTTTGTTCGTTAAGGCCATGAAATCGAGCCCTTATAGCCATTCGGTCTCGACAGCTACCCGCCACTCAACTTAAGAGTATCTACTAACTTCCTTTTCACGTTCAACAGCATGAATTTTGCTTTACGAAGTTGAGCTTCAGCGTATTTTGGAGAATGTCAAGATCTAATCAATATCTGAGGCAACCCGGGCAGACCCTTTAAAGGGTCCGAAAGGCATCTTTCCGAATTGTTTTTGCTATATATTTTGCTATATATATCTTATCTATATATGTATGTAGCCGCGAGTCAATGCATCACGCTTTATTCTCGCAAATCGTACCTTAAAACCTCGGGTTCCTAACAGTGTCAAGACCAAGAGTTCATCCCCATTTCCTGGAAATCGTACAGGCCGGAGCTGACAAAATTTTTACAACAAAAACCGTCTGGGCCATCTGGGTTACCCCGTGATTTCCGAAAGCTCATTCCGACGGCTTATCGTATGCAAAGATCTTGGAATCAGGGGGACCGGGGCCCCAGTCAGCCAAAACAAAATTCGGGTGGTGGGCGGGACTGTTTTAGGGGATAGGGGGTAACAGTCTTCATCGGGCCATTCGCTCGAAACATTCGAAGCTTCGCGCAAAAACTGCGCATCCCTCTGTCCTTTTCTCTCTCACTCACTTGCACTCGCTCTGTCTGTTTCCCTGTTTCCTTCTTTCTCTCTCTCTCTCTCTCTACCTTTCTCTTTCTCTCTTGGCCGTCACTCTCCGGCGCTCTCTCTGGCGCTCTCTGTGTCTCTCTCCCTCTGTCTTTAACCCTCACTCTCTCTGGCGCTCTCTCTCTCCTTATCTCTCACTATTGGAATATCGAATTCGATGCCTAAATATTGCCTTTCTATTTTTGGCCAACTCCCAAAATCCTCCTTTCTTCAAAATCCTGCTATCCAAAAGTTACATTTTTCAACCTCGGTCCGCTAACATTCCAAATGCTTCCTACGAACGGCCATTTTAGCCCGCCCCGAATGGCCAGCTACACAATTCCAGGCCTGATGCGTGACCCCTGCCCCGAACACGATGTCCTCTACAAGACACGCCCCCAGGGGATCGTGTGCACGTGTGCGCTTGGAGCGGATCGCGGAGTCAAAAACGTAAGTTTGTCTGGCGTCTACGTCGTCTTCAACAGACTTTAACAGACTTGCTAATGTTCCCAATTTTTAGGCTCGCGCCCGTCGCACCCAGCGCAGCACTCGCCAAATCGTCCTGCCCACCGCCTTTGAAATCCAGGACAACCGTACTACCCAGATGAACCAACTGGCCGTCCCGGCTACCGTACCTCCTCAGAGGGTCGAGATCAAGGGGATTGGGGTGAGTTTTTAAGTTTTGTACGGTCTGTATCGCTCTCTTTCTCACTCGCTTATCTCCCTCTCTCTCTCCCTCTTTCTCTCGCTCACTCTCTCTCTCTCTCTCCCCTCCATATCACTCATCTCGAACGCGACAATCAGGTGATGTAAATTTAGCAAGAGTCTTCTACCACAGTGCTGGAGCAACTGCAAGCCGCTGACTCGTCCGTCACTCTTCGCGAAGTGTTGCAGGTACAAATCAAACTTCTTCAAAAGCGAGAAAAAAAGAGCGAGAAAGCGATAGAGAGAGAGAGAGAGTGAGAACGAGAGAGAACGAGAGAGAGAAGGAGAGTGAGAAGGAGAGTGAGAGAGACATCCAAGTGTAGACAATGCTAATCCGCTATTTCAGAAATGGCCGCAAGACACGTCGTCTTCCAGGGATGGAAAGTCAGCTTCGGACGAGGTAAATCGTAAATTTTCATCCCAAATAAGGTTGTTTTTAGCCGAAGCCCGTGACATTTCCCGTCGGGAGAGTGACTGCGAAGAAGCGTGTGGCTCCCGAGGTCAAGTCCGGAAACAGCTCCGCTTGAGTTCCTACCAAAATCGGTTAGCCATGATATTCCAAGCCTTCTAACTCGCATTTTTGATCCCTTCTGCACTTTCTTGTACTACCTTTGATTTATGCATGTTGCTGCATCTCTCGCACTCTCTCTCTCTCTATCGCTCTCTCTAAGCAATTATCTATATTTTCCACTTGTAGAAGAAATGAATCCAACCCGTGATCCTTAATCCAAGTAGATGAATAAATTGTGGATAAAAAAGACCAGTTTCACGCTACAAACTACCGAGTAACTGTAAAATACGTACCACTCCGCCCCTTGACAGACGACGCCTTGTTCTCAATGATCTTCAAATTTTCCTTAGCGATTTTCCAGTGCATTCGGAACATGTTCAGACGATTTCTAGATAAAAAATGACGATAGGGGCCTAAAAGTTGCCATACCGTCGTCTGATGAAATAGATGAGGGTTAGGACGACGACAATTCCCAAAATTATACCGCCGCCAATAATGTAGGGTGCATAGTTGCTACAGTCACCGGCTAGGATGCAGGGATCCACCTGGAAAGAGAAGTGTAATGTAGTGATAGAGAGCTAGAGAGAGCCAGAGTACGTCTTTTTTTTACCTGCTGCCCCTTCCGATCCTTCCAAATCGAGTCCACATAGTCGATTTCGTTCTGAAAAACCTTATTTTTAACGACAAGTTTTGCTTACTAAAGAGAAGCATATCTCCGTTCCGTGACATTCCAATGGCGTTGCTTTCATTAGCATCACGCGACTAGCATTTGCTGTAGAATCGGAGAAAGCGGCAGCCTGAAGAGAAAAAATTAGTTCAGACAACTTAATACCAGCGTCAAGTAGAGAAACAGAGATAAAGAGAGCGAGAGAGTGATCTAGAGAGAGAGAGTGAGAGTGAGAGAGATAGAAAGAGAGAGAGAGAGAGAGAAAGAGAAGAAAAGAGGAGGCAAAATTTTCACCTCAAAATCCCTAACCAGCGAACCTCCACCATCAAACAGCGATGTGCCCATCAGGTCTAAATTGGTAATTTCCTGGTTTTTCTACGAAAATCCTGAATGAGCCATTTATCCCGATTTATGCCTGCTTTCTCACTTTTTATGACCTTAAATTATGCTCCAATTCTTAAGGAGTCGCTGCTAGTATGCCGTAATTCATTTTTTCGCTTGTTTTTATCTCCATGTAATAAAATTGGCTTACTAGTAAAAGTATGATTGGCGAATTGGCTCTGATAACTGTCCCCATTCCCGTAATTCTTCTCCGGGCTGAAGCAATAGCCATAACATGCGTTGTACAGCGCCATGAATTGCATAAATTGGGCCGTCTGAAAATAAAATTGAATGTGGTGATTTAATATTGGGTGGCCGCTTACGTTTTCAGTGGTCCAGGCGACTTCGCCTGGCAGGATATCGGCCACGACAGTTTCAAAATTGTCCATCACGGGGGCTAGCTGGAAAAATAGGGTTTATAGATGCTTTGACATGTAGAATTAACAGGTCTTGTCGCCTAGATTTTATGAGCTACGCGGCACACCAAATATCATGTCAGCAAAGATTCCACCTTTTTCGGCTTTTTGACGAGGATTTTACTGTCGAGATCTAATCGGCAAGAGGTTTCGATTTTGTAGGCTTGCTTTTGCCTTTAAAATGAGCCTGAAATAGCCTTGACGTTGCGTTAAACATAGGCTAAAAAAACTAGCTCAACTTACAAAAATCAGCCCAGCAACTGCGGCTCGATCCCGGATTGGCAGGGCACAGATCTGAAAAAGGAAAAATATAATTCCCTGAAGTCCTAGCTAGTAAGTTTAAAAAATCCATCGGATTCTCCGCTAGCTTGTCATAATGAAAAAGTTTTGAAAGTCACTAGCGCACGTTTTTAGTTAGCTACATACTTCTCGCCCGGTTTGAACCATAAAATTCCCATTTCAAGTGCGGCAGGGCAAGTTTCTGGCAATTCCCCAATGACCTCTGCCAGCCGACTTTTGGAATACTGGACTGCCCTACCTCTGTCGGCATCACGCAAGCAATGACGATCATGAACTTCTTTGCTAGCAGCCCGCCCAGGTCCAACTCATCCCAGGCGTGTGCCAAATCCGGGAAGTCGGCTCCGACGACAATCACTGAATGATAAAAAAGTTTTTGGTAGAGTTTAGTAATTTTTGCCTTAACATGGTAGTCTACAAGAGACTCGATATTTCGCAAGACAAAAAGAGACTGAGAACTAAGAAAAGCCTCTTACATTTGGTAGACTGTAGAAGCTCTTCTCTGATGATAGCAAAGTCATCATCAGTGGTGTCACTTTCGTAGTAGCCTTTGACCGTAAGGCCTCCGACTCCAGAATACACCGAATCTTTTATGCCCTTCGCGATCGGGTAATCATCGTCGGTGAGGATTGGGCCAACGATGGCTACCTAAAAATTATTTCTCACTTTCTCTGTCTCATTCTCTCTCTCTCTCTCTCTCTCTCTCTCTCTCTCTCTCTTCTCTCTCTCTTCACACTCTCTCGCTTTCCCTACCTGCTTCTCATTGACCTTGGCGGCAATGATGCCCAATGCCATCGCCAGCCCGACGTACGTTGTAGGGGTGAACTGGACGACATTTGGAAAGTTCTAGAAAAAATATGATTAATTTTGAGGTTCCTTTACGTCAATATTTAATATATCCACAGCCACCGGAGTCCTGGTCAACACCGGCTTCTTGTTGAAGTACGAAAACCGGGCGATCTGCTCGAGCTCATCGACGCACGGTGGGGCAACGTAGGCGTCAACCTGAAGCAGGAAGATGTGGAAGAACGGGGGAGAGAAAGAGAGAGAGAGAGAGTCAGAGAGAGAGAGAGAGAGAGAGAGAGAGAGAGAGAGAGAGAGAGAGAGAGAGAGAGAGGTTACCTCGTCACTATAATACAGCCGCAATGCATTGACGGTTCCGAGGGCAGGTCTTGATGGTAAACATCCCTCGACCAGGGTTACCCTATTAAATGCTAATATAAACGAAGCAATAGCAAAACTTACGTAATATTCTCAGAACAAGCTCCATTATTTGCCGCTTCATCTAGGCCGCGTTGGCAGAATGCTTTTGCCTGAAAAGAATTAAACAGTTACAGTACGGCTTCAAGGTTTTGTTGTAACTTTTCAAGTTACTGTTAATAGATAAATGTCATGTAAAATTTAAGCTATCGATAGTATCCCTGCGTACCCCTTGTCTTGAATCGACAACCACCAGTCGAACGGCTTCAAAACGGTCGATGAGGGCGAGTAGAGCAACAACCAGGATCAGCATCGCATTATTCGCATCGTTGTGATCTGCACAAAATTGTTTGCAGAACACACAACTGCTCAAAAAAGGCGTGCGCAAACATAAAAAATACAAGTAATGAGCATCAAAATACCTAGAAGAACAGGGGAAAACGATGGAGAATGTAAACTAGGAATCATCCAAAATCTCAAAGTTGCTGCTTGTTAGCATATCTTCGTAACTCTTGCACTATTCCAAAACATGGAAATATTTATCCAAAAAAGAAATAAAAGCGAAAATGATAAGTTAAAACGACTAGAACTGCTTCTTCTATCAGTAATGTAAGTAATAAGGTTCAGGTATGGCACTCCTAACACATCAAAAGTTTCTTTTCCGTTAAGGAAAAACTCCAAAAATTAGGTAACCATGGATAAAACGGCAAGATTCACGCCTATGCTATTATTTCACGCCAGGAATCTTATTAGCCTTAATATGGAATGAGCTAATTAAGTTATGATTCATGAACGAGGCCAACAAGGAACGCTCGCTAAAGAAAATCGCCAAAAGGTATCGATCGAAGACTTGCGCAAGGCTCACGACTCTAACTCTAACTCTCTAACTCAAGACATTAATTAACGTCTAGCTTAACAACAAAATTCGAAAAGGTATAAAAAATCCTATTAAAGTATGATTCATCAAACACGCAATAATGAACCGGTTCGATAATCTAGTGCTCAACTTTGCTATAGGAAAGGCGATCCCGTGAAGATATTTTCCCCGGGGGATGGGCCCCGTCTATCTTTTCTGTTATTGTTACCTGGGCCCTAATGAATGGGTGTGTGGTGGGCGCTAATGAGGGCCCTTCTTTCCGCCTCTCTCCCCTTTCAAATCACTGCCATCTGGGCGGGTATTCAGACTTGAGACCTCAATTCCGCAATGCCACTCGATTCCGCGCGGATTATCGCGATGAAGACGATACAGATGGATTAATAAGAAATCTTCTATTGTTGTCTAGCGTCTGGACAAAATTTATTAACTTGTATTTGAGTAATAAAGATTTCAGCACTATTTTCAGGACACTGCTTTGAATCAAAGGGACTGGCAAGGCATGAATATGGATTTTCCCAAAAGAATGGCTAAACTTTATATACTTTATCCTCCCGCCGGAAAGTTTTGATTATCAATTTTTTATTTTACATCAATGTAGGCTCAAATTAAAGCTCTTAAGTTATTTTTCGACGCTCTATCGAATGGCGTTGCAAAAATCCCGACCAAAATAAGCGAAAATACCGAAAACTTTGAGACTCTTCGGCTTTGGGGGGCGGCGTAACGTAAACTCCTAGATAATTTTGTAATGGTTTGGCAGGACCCGCGGCACGCTACGCGCCTTAATAGTCTTTCTAATATAAAAAAATAGTGTTTGTGTGTGTGTGTATATTTGCCTGCACTTCCGTTTGGATGTTCCGCACCTACAGCCTTAGGGAAGCATTTTTTCGGTAGGGAAGAAACGTCACTAGGTAAAGAAGGGACCGGAATCGACTGCACGCACATAAAATCTTTGAAAAACTGCTATTTTCGCTATTAAAATTAGGTTTTTGTAAAAATCTTGGCTTCCCTCTTTGTTAGGGAAAAATTAGCATACGCCGGAAGTGGAAACGGCTTATAAAAAGGAAGGGAGGGCGTGGTTTGCATTTTTTGGTCATCGGTTAAGAATTATGCAAAGTTTCATAGATCCTAGACGGGGGCCAGGGTTGAAAAGCCGCGAAGCGGTTTTTCAACCCTGG